GCAAAATGCGATACTGTCCTCACATTTTCACGTTTGTGCTTGCAGAATGCGGGACTGTCCTCGCTTTTGGACGCCGGTGCTCGCGAAATGCGAAACTGTCGTCACAGTTGAGAACCGCGAAATGCGAAGCGGTCACCGCTTTGGCAAATTGCGGGCTCTGGGCATCTTGTGGACGTGCTAAGCTATGCCTCTCACAGCGACCCTAAACCCCAAACCCTCAACTCTAAGCCCTCAACCCCCAAAACCCCAGACACCTCGCCCTAAACCCTCATCCCTAAACCCTAAACCCCAGACCCCAAAACCCCTAAGCCCCTCGCCTACCATGTCGGGCATCTCTTCAAACTCTGCCACATCCTGGGCTTTTTGGGGGCTTGGCGAAGCTGTGGTTCCAAAGGTCGACCCTTGAAGCTTTCCGGTGGTAGGGGTTAGGGGCTTAGGGCTTAGGGCTTAGGGCTTAGGGCTTAGGGCTTAGGGTTTAGGGTTTAGGGTTTAGGGTTTAGGGTTTAGGGTTTAGGGTTTAGGGTTTAGGGTTAGGGTTGAGGGTTTTTTTTAGGGCTTCCTTGTCTGGGGTGAGGGGCTTGGGGTTTGGGGTTTGGGGCTTCTAAGGGTTTGTAAGGGCTTATCCAGGCCTATACTGGCTTTTAAAGGGCTTATAAATGCTTATGGGGGCTTTGCGTGAACGATTTTCAAGGCTTCCGCTTCAGGATGCAAGCTTTTTCTTGCTTGTACAGCTTCACGTAGCATGGCTCCTGTCTTGAAAAACAGTTGCACCGCTACAGACCAATTCCGAACCAAGCAAGGCACATTGTGTTCGCTTGCGGTCTCTTGCGCAGTGCTGCGTGCCTTCCGTCGAAATGATGCGGCTACGCTCAAAGCATGCGGCTGTCGTCACTCCCATAGGAGCGCAGGCCCCCCGAAGAGATACAATCGCATAGATTGCTTGCAAGCTGGCTGTTCACTCACAACATAGCGGAGATAGGGATTTGGGTTTCAGGGCTAGGGCTCAGGTTCAATGTTTAGGGTTTAGGTCTTGTGGCCTTGCTCTGCTTTGTTGCACTTGGACCAACCAAAGCCTGAGCCATGGAATGAAGGCACACATGAGTGGACAAGCGACTGTGTGTTTTCAGTCTTGGGTTAGCAATCCCGAATCCGCGCGTAAACCCGGTTAACCCTAAACCCTAAAACCTGAACCCTAAACCTAAACAGCGGCGTATTGATGAACGTCCTTGGGACGTTCCCACCTTGGGGGTTCAGGGTTGCATTGTTCAGTTCGGGCATTTCAGGGGGAGTTGAGCGAAAACATGTGGGGCCTTTCTCTAACGTAGCATGCTGCACATTGTTTAGGGCACCTGAAGCGTAAAAAAATCGATCTGCCCATGCCTAGAGTGGAGCTTCAGAGGATACAAGACCAAAGACGACAAGAACAGCTTCCAGCGGTAACGAACTCTCGGCAAAGGCTATCTAAATACATGTCTTGCCATCTTGTGCATGGAAAGTGTCGCCATAGAAGTGCTTCAGGAAGCGTGCTGCCAGCCAGTAGTGGGCGTGGAGCCTGCAGCAAGAACTTGCGGGAAGCAAGCAGGGTATAAGCGCCATGTCAATTAGGAGGGGGTGTCACATACTGTAGGACTCAGAAAATGCCCTAGTTTTTTTCGAACGAAGGTGCGCGTGGCGTAACACTTGGGATCCGGGCCTGCAGTCATCTTATGCATGTTTTGCCGCATGAACTTCCAAAACCATCAGACTCCCAGAAGTCCGGACCCCAACAAGTCATTCTGTGCAGGGTACTTGGCAACGTAGGTTTATGGGCTCGAGGCTGCAGGACTTAGGGGTTTCAGGGTCGAGGGGTTTAGGGTGAAAACGCTCAACCCAAGACCCCTTGAAAGGTTTGCGGCTGGTTGAGGGCGACTTGGTGCCCGGGCTCACACTGCGCTGCCGTTGCGGGGTTCTCCCAGGAGCTCTCGCCCGTGACCTGCGGGAAAAGCGCACTAAGGAAGATTGTTGGTGGAGGACTGCAGCTTCAGGGCTTGATACATCGTGAGATCCTGTGATGTTCCTGCTTGTTTTTCCACGGCCCACACAAAGATCCCTAGATTATTTCCATGTGCCGCTTGTAAACGAACAATCATGGAGTCGGCTTCAAGCACGATGGCCGACGGCCTGCCTCATTGAAGAAGTACTCGTCATCGTCTGTCAAGGGTTTGAGCATGCCCTTGACTCCCTATGCAGAGTTTGGGGTTTGGGGTTTAGGGTTTAGGGTTGAGGGTTGAGGGTTGAGGGTTTCGGGTGCAGGATTTCGACCCTAAACCGGAAACCCTCAAGACTGAACCCCTCTTTACACAAGAAACCCCAAACCCGACCCCAAAGCCCATGTATCTGCGCTCACCATGATCTACACGCCAAGCTCACTGAAGCCCTACCACCCTAAACTCACGATGAACAGGTCCAAGAATGGCAGGTAGGTCTCGAAATGCGGCTGCCTTCTTTGGTGCCTTTTTGTAACACATGCGCACTTCAATTCAAGGCACAATACTCCAGAAGACAACCAACATTTCTAGTTCATGGTTTGGATAATATTAAAAAATGTATTCCTTATTGGGTTTAAGTACCCGTAAACATGTAAAATGCTACCCAACTATGCCAAAGATATCTTTGAGACCTGCCCTCCATTTTCGAGGGAAAAGGAGCGGCGGAGGAAGGAAAGGGAAGGGGAAGGAGGCAGAAGCGTGCGAGCCTTGGTGGTGGCTCGACCAACCTCGGACAATTCAAGTTCATACGTTTAGCGTTTCGGGTTTAGGGTTTAGGGTTTAGCGTTTAGGGTTTAGGGGTCAGGCCATTGCCATTTTTGCTTGGAGGGGAGGGGGGGGGGGGGGGGTTCTGCATTCCAAATGTAGGCTGGGGGGGGAGGTGGAGATCTCCAGCTCGCCACGCGGCCACACACTTAGAAATCTTGGAGCCCAAACCACACAGCAATCCGGAATGCCCAGAGAGCCCGATGCCCCACCATAAAGGAAGACACCTTCAATATTTCTCTGGTGCATTGGGCTCCCGGACTACCACCTAAACCCAAAACTCAACCCCTAAACTGCGAAACCCTGAACTTTCAACCCAAGCCAGACACGGCATGTTCCAAAGATCGGAGAGAACAACAACGCCTGGAAGATTCCTTGGGGCTTGAGCGTTTACAGGCGTGGCCTCAGATGCAGCTCGATGGTTGTAGGGTTGAGGGAGTTTAGGGAGTTTAGGGTGTTTAGTGTTTAGGGTTTAGGGTTTAGGGTTTCGGAACATGCCGCACCATCCTCGAGCTGACAGGAACTTGAAACCCCGGAAACGCGCGGACCCTGGGCTCAATTGGGATGAAGCATGCTCCGTTTGAGAATCTCAAGCTCTGGCACAAGCCACTGCAGAATACCGTCTACAACCTGGAACCCACAGACAGGTATCGGTTGGCTCCATGAGAGGCCAAACTTGTTTCCAAACTGGTCTCCAAACTAGCTTCCAAACTCAACCGGTTCCGCAACCGGCTTTTCTGCATTCTCCTGTGATTCCCCGAGTCTCAGTTTTATCAAGGCGGCCCCGTACGTGATACCACCGCAGCCAGTCCGGCAAGCTCTGGCTCTCCTCCGGCGGACGCCGTCGGAAATGGTAAAAAGCCTCCGCGGCTCCAGCCGAAGCCGGCACGAACTCCACAGTTCAGGGGCTAGGGGTTAGGGGTTAGGGGTTAGGGGTTAGGGGTTAGGGGTTAGGGGTTAGGGGTTTAGGGTTGAGGGTTGAGGGTTGAGGGTTCAGGGTTTAGGGTTCAGGGTTCAGGGTTCTCAGGGTTCAGGGTTCAGGGTTCAGGGTTCAGGGTTCAGGGTTCAGGGTTCAGGGTTCAGGGTTCAGGGTTCAGGGTTTAGGGTTTAGGGTTTAGGGTTTAGGGTTTAGGGTTTAGGGTTTAGGGTTTAGGGTTTAGGGTTTAGGGTTTAGGGTTTAGGGTAGAGCATGGCCTCCTGCACCCCAAGGCCATGGCCTGTTCTGAAGCCGCCCGCTTTCCGGGTGCAGACGTGGCTGAATTAGGGGCTTAGGGTTTGAGGGTTTAGGGTTTAGGCGGTTTAGGGTTTAGGCGGTTTAGGGTTTAGGCGGTTTAGGGTTTAGGCGGTTTAGGGTTTAGGGTTTAGGGTTTAGGGTTTAGGGTTTAGGGTTTAGGGTTTAGGGTTTAGGGTTTAGGGTTTAGGGTTTAGGGTTTAGGGTTTAGGGTTTAGGGTTTAGGGTTTAGGGTTTAGGGTTTCTGGCCCGTTCGCGAGGCTTTCCCCGCACTTGGCCGCATAGCCCGCCACGTAGCGCACTCCCACGCGCTCTCACAGTAGGGCGTGTTCCGCGAGAAAAGGAGATTGCTCAGGGCGACAGAGAGACTCAGCTTTTCTAATACGGGCGCAGATGGCCAATTGCCATGATTGAAAGAACCTAAGCCTTGTGAACCGAAACCTTGGCACCAACAACCTGGGATCCTAAAGCTTGAGCCCTGAGCCCTAAATTCCGAAAGCCTTATAATGCCCAAAAACCCTAAGCTCTACACCCTTTAACTGCACTCAGGAGGCCCGAAAGCTTGGAGGCAGCGAACTCATCGCAGGACTTCCTCGGGCACACCACGCAGGTTTAGGGCTTTGGGTGTAGGGCTTAGGATTTCGGGGCACTGGGCCTTCATCCTTCTTGGGTGTCAAGGTTGAGGCCGTGCAATAAATTTAAATGAAGGACGGGGCGGTAATTGCGGAATAGGCTGCAGAGGCAACTTCGAAACGGGTTGCGGGCTGTCACAAAAGAACTTGATCTTGTCTTGCTGCCGGGCGAAATGGTTCAAGGTTTGAAGATTTTGGGTTAATTCCTCACAGAAGCATGTGCAACTCCACTCGAAGTGTTTCAGACTTCGCTGTCACTGGAGCTCAAGATCTATACCCGCAGTTGAGATCCATGAGGCAGCTAGACAGAGGGCCAGTAGCCTATAGTCAAGGAACAACCTTAAACTATATGGGGATCCTTGCCGGAATACACCTCAACAGCAGGGGGAGTGGGCTGTCTAGGCGAGGCTGCTCCCATGCAGAACTCGGCTTCTGCAAGCGCTCTTGTCCAATCTCACAGTTCAGAACGCAAAGGCCGAGCTTCAAATGGGCTGCCAGCGCCACGACGACGTCGGTGATGGAAGTAGATTCCTGCAGCTTCCATGGTCCTAAACCCTCAACCCTCAACCCTCAACCCTCAACCCTCAACCCTCAACCCTCAACCCTAAACCCTAAACCCTAAACCCTACTCCCTGGAAGTGGTGTGAGGCTGGACATCTTCGGACGTAGGGCCAAAGCAGGGCGACTCAGTCGCGCTGAGAGGTTGTTGGGATGATCCCGCCCTCTTCCTAAACCCCCCCCCTAGAACCTTAATAAAAACACAATATTTTTAATATCCTCTTGGGTTTTATATTTAAAAAACGAATTCTCAAGGGGGATATAGTCTAAGCCCGATGCCCTACTAACCTTCCAAGGACCCTCTCAGGGAGCTTGGGCTGCTGTTGTGTCTGGAGAACCCCACGCCTGGTAAACCCTAAGGCCCGCTCAACAGAGTTCGAAAAGGGAGATAAAGAAAGACTTTGGGGGGGGGGGGGGGCATAATAGCGTTGATGAGGCTTCGGGGTGTACGGGGCTTTTGGGGTTTTGTAGGGCTTGATGGGGTCTGGTGTGTGTTAAGGGTTTCCCCTTCATGCCGACAAAAGAAGGAGGAGTGCACGTTAGACATCGCTACCATTTGTGTATGGTACAAGGGTTACTCTAGATAGAGTGTTGGGCCTTAGGGGCTTTGCAGGCTTTAGGGGCTGCTGGGGCTTTATATAGGGGTATCTGGGCCTGGGCTTGGAGGATTTCAGGGTTTGGGGTTTAGGGCTTTCTAGGGGCTTCGGGCTTCCACCTTTGGGGATGTGATCCCCCCTTTCAACCTATGCTTAACACACTATACCCTATGCCCCAAACCCTTAGGGGTTTGGGGCCTTAAGGATAAAAGAAAAACCTAAACCCTAAACCCTAAACCTTAAACCCTAAACCTTAAACCCTAAACCCTAAACTCTAAACCTTACACCCTAAACCCTAAAACCCTTATTGCCGAAGCTACCCGAACCAGCTCCACCATGGACTCCAACGCCGACAAGAAGACCTTCCGGGCAGTTGCGGCTTCAGCAGGTGCGATATATCTACATCTACATCTACATCTATATCTATATCTATATACGTGTATATATATATACATATATACATATATTTATTTATTTTTTTTATTTGTCTATCTATTTGGGGGCTTCCGAATTTCGGGGCACCCTTTTGGGAGGTTCCGCCGGGGCTTGGGGCTTTAGGGCTCAGGGTATAGCGGCCGGGCTGTTGAGCGGCACTTAATTCAGATTCTATACACAGAAAAAACTTTTGGGAGTTCCGACTTGTTCCTTCCAATTCCTCTTCCAAATCCGACCTCCATCAGCGGGTGCTGCCACATTGCGGTCCCCGCGACTTCCTGGGCTTTTCAGTGAGGGTTTAGGGTTTGGGGCTGGACTTCTTTAGGTAAACCCCAAACCCTAAACCCTAAACCCTGAACCCTAAACCCTAAACCCAGAAAAAGAAACACAATTCCATAGCACTTCCAAGCCAAGCTTCATTCCAGAAGTAGATCGATCCATTGCTGCTGGTCTCCTGCGGAGGCTCAGAGGCTTTTACGTTTTCAATGCCGGGTTTGGGGTTTTGGGGTTTATACAGGGTTTGGGGTTTAGGGTTTAGGGTTTAGGGTTTAGGGCTTAGGGTCCAAGAGCTTAAACCTAAACCCTCAAACCCTATAACCCAAAAACCCTACCCGGAGTCAAGGGTCGGGCTTACTTCCGTCACTGCCCTCAGGATAAGCATGATTTGGTTACCCAACCCTGAAAAGAAACGGCTTATTAAGTGGTCATAAGGTAGCTGCGGGCGCAAATTCTGAGGGTGACCAAATTTGGTTGAAAGAACTGCCTCGTCAGCAAAATGCTTGCTCTGCATGTATAGACTGCAAACGATACACATCATCACTGACCATTAAACCCCGAACCCACAACCCTACTGTAAAATCAAGACAAAGCTTGCATCTGGAAACCTATGCTCCTTGAAACTCAATCTTGCATGCCTTATCACCTGAACCCTGAAACCTAAACCCTAAACTCTCTGAAGGCATCAAAACTTGTACACCTCAAGCGTGCACAGCCTGAGCAAGCTGGGTAACCGTAGACCGCATAGACCTCATAGACCCTAAACCCAGGTCTCAAGCACAACACACACGCAACAACGCCAAGGGTCTGGGGCTCAGAGTTTCGGGGCAGGGACTTAGGGTTGAAGACCCCAAACCCCAGACCCTAAACCCCAAACCCTAAACCCCAAACCTCAAACCCAGGTCCTCACGCCACGGCAAGGGGAGAGGCAGGTCCCAGGCTGCACGGGCGAGGACGTTGATGATCTCACATGGCCCTGCTTAGACTGCCGGGTGGAGTCTGGGGTTTAGGGTTTAGGGTTTTAAGGTTTAGGGTTTAAGGTTTAGGGTTTAGGGTTTAGTGTTTAGGGTTTAGGGCTTAGGGTTTCGGGTTTAGGGTTTCGGGTTTAGGGTTTAGGGTTTAGGGTTTGGGGTTTAGGGTTTATGGTTTAGGGTGTGCGAGTGGTTCTGTAGTTCCCTAAGCCCTAAACCCTGTACGGGGTTATTAGGGGGTTTGGGGTGTCGGGTTTAGTGGAGAGGGGTATTGATGTCCTGATCCCTGCACACTCTGCTTCAAATTTCACGCGTAGCTTTCATGTGCCCTCAGGCCGAAGTCCTGAACCCCAAACCCTGCCTCAGTTACCTCTGCTTCTAACCCGACTCAGCACTTTGCACGAACCTTCAGGTATCCCCACCTGCTTAACAAGGGCTTTTTGTTTTGGGGTGGATTCCTAACAACACAAATCGCTCTTATTCTGGGCTTTTGATTTTTGCATTAATTCCAGCAAAAGGGTCCTTTGATGCCACGCTCGACCGCGCGCCCACGGAAGCTCCGAAGAAACTCGCCTGCATAAGTCAGCGAACTGTCGGGGCAAGAGCGCATTCGGCAGAGGGGAACAAGAATGTCTGGGAAGACAAGGCACAATACACCTACCAGAAAGCTCGCGAACGGCCTGAGCGTGGTTCAGGGTCTGGGGCTTTAAGGGTTCAGGTTTAGTCAAGGCAGGGCTTCAGGTCCGATCAACTCAACCCTAAATTCAACTGATTTGCTTTCACCACTATCTGTTTTCACTGCCAACTACAACTACAAGCAATGCCCACAAAAGCAGTCTTGTAAACCCATTCTGCAGCGTTCGCTGGGCCTTGGCAAGAGAACTCAGTGGCTTCCAACTTGCTTATGCCAGGGATACCCTAACATTTATATGCATATATTTAGTTACACATGGATCTAATTCCTCGTTCTTTTTATATCATGAGTTGTTTGGGGGGGGCATGGGAAAATGGGAGGGGCTGGACGGCCAAGAAAGGCGGTAGGTGGGGAGAGGTTGAGTGTCTTAACCAAAGCGACCCTACGGTGCATTACAGTGTAGGGTTCAGAGTTTTGGTTGGTTTTAGGGTTTAGGGTTACGTAGGGTTTAGTGTTTAGAGTTTTGTGGCTATAGCTACCGGAAATAGGGCCCACAGACACTAAACAAGTCTCTTCGAATCATCCAAAACCTCGAAACCCAAAACGTACACCTGCCCTAAGCCCTAGACCCTGAACACGTAAATCCAGAAAAACGCTCATGACTGCTAAACCCTTCCACCTTCAACGCACACCCTAAACCCGAAACCCGAAACCCCGAAACCCTAAACCCTAAACCCCGCAAACAAGACGAACTGCCTAGCGAAGTCTGACGGAGGGGTGCTGAGCCGTGCAGGGCCATGGCCAATCTTACACGCACTCGTCAGCGCGTCAGAGGGGCTCAAGGCTGAGGCCTAGAAATTGTCGGGTTAGGGTTTAGGGTTTAGGGTTTAGGGTTTAGAGTTTAGGGTTTAGGGTTTAGGGTTTAGAGTTTAGGGTTTAGGGTTTAGGATTTAGGGTTTACAGTTTACAGCTTAGTGTTTAGGGCTTAGGGCTTAGGGCTGAGGGTTTGGGTTCGGGGCTTTGCAAGGTGCATACGGTATGTACAGGGGTTTTCTGGGGCTCAACCCGAAGCTACGTGCAGGGCCCCCTTACACACGTCATAGAGTTGTGGAAAATTCCCTGTGTATGAAGGACCCCACTTGCGACCTACCCCCATGTAAGGCTAGGAGCCTGTCAGCTTGAAATTTGGTTCAGGATTAGAGTTTAGGGTTTAGGGTCTAGGGCTTAGGATTTAGGGTTCAGGGTTTATAAGGTTCAGGCTAAGCGTTTAGGGTTCAGGGCTTTGGTTGGGATTTCCTGGTGGGGTCTCGTGCTACTTGGGGGCCGGAACTCCACTTAGTGGGACTCCCCGGAAGCAAACGGCTGCTGGGAACAAGTGTCAGAAAGTCCCGAACCCAACCCTGAAGCCCTGGGGCCTATAAACCCTAAGTCCCCAAGCCCCAGAACCCCGAAATCCCAAAACCCCAAAACCCCAAAACCCCAAAACCCCAAAACCCCAAAACCCCAAAACCCCAAACCCCAAAACCCCAAAACCCCAAAACCCCAAACCGTTTGAGGTGCTCTGGCTTGCGTCTGGGGGGTTCTGAATGCTCTTTGTTTGCAACTTTAGAGCGTTAGTCTCGCGGGGCATTGAAGGTCTCATGGGGCTTGCTGGCATTCGTCTAAGGGCTTAGAGGTTTTGTAGGGCTTGCGGGTCATAGGTTTAAGTTTCTTCCTCTATTTTTTTTGGGGGGGAGGGGGGCTAAGCCCTAAACCTTGGACCCTGAAGTCTAAACCCTGAAGGGGCGCACGTGAGGCAGCTCATGGAGCTGAGGGCTGTGTGGGCTCTTAGGGCTTTCTGGGCTCTTGGGGCTCAAGGTTTCGGGCTTGCGGTTTCGGCCCTAAGGGCTTAGGGTTTAGGGTTTAGGGTTTCGGGTTTAGGGTTTAGGGTTTCGGGTTTAGGGTTTAGGGTTTCGGGTTTCGGGTTTAGGGTTATTAGGGCTTCGGTTCGTGGAAGGGCATGGAGGAGGAACGCCCGACGCGAAACCTCCAACTTCGGCTGCAGACTTGAAGCCCTTGAGCTGGCTAATGCTGACACCCTCGCCTGTCGTCTTTGCAATTTCTACGTCTTGAGGGCTTTCCTGTTTAGGGCTTAGGGTTCCGGATGCTTCGCACCTGCAAATCTGATCCCTGGCGGATCCTCGATGCTCTGCCTCAACTCGTCATACTGCTCGCCATCCACATACAGCTCGTTGATCGCCTCACCAAACGGGTGGGAGAATGTTGGGCTTAGGCGAAAGTCCCGACGACTCTGAGCCCTAAAGCACCCAACCGTGCACCTTCCGACCTAAATTCCCAAGTCCAGGCCCGGGGCTTAGGGTTCATAAACACTAATTACACCATAAGCCCTAAACCAAACTTTCAAACCCTAGACCATAATTGAACCTGAAATTTCTCCGCACACCCCACCCCCCCCCCCCCCCCCCCCCCCCCCCCCCCCCCCCCAAAAAAACAAACACTAGTAGGGATGGCCCTGATGTCTTCACAACATCCAGGAACCCTCAAATATTCTTTAGGGGGAACATCCCAACTTAAGGCTTTGGGAACTCAGGGTGGAAGCAGTACCCTGGCCTCGTTGACGGGGGCAATGTTGTGCTGCTGCACCTGGTTGGCTGGACCGCGGAAGTTCCTCAACCCGAAAGCCTCTTAAAGCGCCTTCAGCCATAGACCCCCCAGCCCCTAAACCCCAAAACTAAACTAGACCCAAGAGTAGCCGAGGAATGACAAGGGTGCCCTTTGTGGTTTAAAGGGGCTTCTACCGGAACCTAAACCCTAAAAAAAGGGGAATAAGGGCCTGCTCAGACCCAGAGACCAGTTCGAGGCTTGGGGCTTCAATTACCAATGGATTAGGAGCTTGATACTTGAAGCTTTTGGTGAGTGTGGGGTAGACAAGGATTAGGGTTTAGGCGTGGTAGGGATTCGGGGTTTCGGCTCGAGAGTTTGGTGTTCGGGGGTGAGGGCTTAAGGCACATTAAGGCAGTCCCGAGTGTTGGTTTGGGGGTTTAGGGGCTTCTTGGGCTTCGGGAGGCTTGAGGAGCTACTGGGCTTTCAGGGGTTCTGGAGTTCTGGGGTTTTGGGGCTTTGGGGCTTTGGGGTTAACGACAGGTGGAGTAAGCCAACGCATCCTCCATTCTCCCAAGCTTTTTCCGGGAGGGGTGTTTGATTCAACGGAGGATTCTCACTGGTCTTCCCAAAGGCAGGACATTCTCAACACAGAAAACCTAAACCCAAAAGACAGAAGAGCAGAGCGACGCCTCAAGCCTTAAACCCCAAGCCCAAAACCAAAACCCAGAAACCCAAAACCCTCAACCCTAACCCCTTCCGCTAACCCTAAACCCCTAAACCCAAAGCCAACAAAGACACCCCAATAGGAGTGCATCCTACAACCCTCAACTCGAAAGCCCCGCAAACGGCCTGCTTCATGTAGGGCATGATGAGCGGCAGCTGTCCTACCTTTCGGACCTCGCGGCTTTCTCTGCGTTGGTTGTTTAGGGTTCATTGTCTTGGGGTTAGGGTGTAGGGTTTCGGGTTTCGGTTTGAAGGCTCTTGCTTAAGGTGTCTTACTTCTGCAAATGATATGGGTTTAGGGCATGGGCTTCAGCTGTAAATTTGCTATCCCACCCAAACGATGTATTGAAGCTCAACTTCCAGGGCTTCGAGTTGCTGGATTTGGGATACTGCGTGCAGTGAGGCTTCCTCAGGAACCGGGTTTTGCCTAAACCCCAAACCCTAAACCACAAACCGCAAACCTTAAACCTTTGATACACTCTAAAACCTTAAACCCAGACCTGCCAGGGCGGCTTTCACGACAGATGAGGTCTTATACATGCAGAGGGAGGTGAGGGTTCTGAGGCAGGGCTTTTTGGTTTGGGGCTTAGGTGCAGGGACCACACCCTGAAATTAAACACTGAACCTCTCTTCTCTATAAAGAAACCTAGCGAGCGAAAAGGGCGAAAGGTTCCCACTGGGCTACGGGAAAACTTAAGGTTGTAACCCTACCCTGAACCCTGAACCCTGAACCCTGAACCCAAAGCCCCAAACCCTAACCCCAAACTGGAGTGGATCAGCATGAGCGATGCTGGCCGCGCCTGCTGCACCACACGCGCGTGATCCACCTTGACGGGCGGTTGAGGGATTTAGGTTTAGGGTTTAGGGTTTAGGGGTTAAGGTTTGGGGTTTAGGGTTTAGGGTTTAGGGTTTAGGGTTTAGGGTGTAGGGTGTAGGGTGTAGGGTTTAGGGTTTAGGGTTTAGGGTTTAGGGTTTAGGGTTTAGGGTTTAGGGTTTAGGGTTTAGGGTTAGGGCTTAGGGTCATCCCCTCGTTTCAACTCTAGAGGCCCTGAACCCTGTTAAGCCTTATCTTAGACAGATTGAGGGGTGACTCCGTGACAGACTTTCTCGAGGAGATGGCCTCAGGTCACACCAGCCTGGGCCTAGGGGCTGAGTGGTGCGGGAATGAACAGTGGAAATGTGTGTCAGACCCTAAACCCTAAACCTTGAACCCTGAACTCTGAACCCTGAACCCAGAACCCTGAACCCGGAACCCTGAAGCCAGAACCCTGAACCCAGAACCCTGAACCCAGAACCCTGACCCCTGACCCCCCTCTCCGGGAATCTAATTCAACTAGGGGCCTGGCTCGGGGCTGCTACCCCTCCTACCTCAACCCCAAACACTATCAGCCCCAAAAAACCTAAGCCTTTAAGCCCTGTCCCGTAAGCCCTAGCCCCCCCCCCCCCAAAAAAACCAATAAACCCCTAAACCCCGAAACCCATAAACCCTAAACCCTGAAACCCTAAACCCTAAACCTGAAACCCTAAGCCTAAACCCTAAACCCTAAACCCTAAACCCTGAAACCCTAAACCCTAAAGCCTAAACCCTAAACCCTGAAACCCAAAACCCAAAACTCTAAACCCCCGCAACCTTTGGTGTGATCGTCGAGAGCAGCGAGTTCAGCTGCAGCGGCCTGTGAGCTGGCCGCGGGGTAAGGGTTGAGGGTTGGGTTCAGGGTTCAGGGTTAGGGGGGTTAGGGTTTAGGGTTTAGGGTTTGGGGGTTGGAGTTCGGGGTTTCGGGGAGTTGAGGTTCGAGGGCCCGAAGGGTCTAGGGCTTAGGGGTCCATAAGCCCTAAGCCTCAAACCCCAAACCCTGATTGCATGGGGTGAAGACACGCGGCTGCAAGGGAAAACCTCAGCAAGAACAACATCCGTGGGAGCCAAATAACCCTGAATTAAGACATCGACCTAAAACTACACATATTGTATTATATATATATATGTATATGTATGGCACCAAAGGGTTCTGAATTAAGGCAGAATTCCTGACTTCAAGGGTGTTGATCTCTCTTGGGTGCAAATAACCTTAAAGCTCGAACTCCAGAACCCAGAATCTTCAACTTAGGGTTTAGGGTTTAGGGTTTTGGGTTGAGGGTTTAGGGTTTAGGGTTTGGGGTTAGGGTCGGGGTTTGGGGTTTAGGGTTTAGAGTTCAGGGTTAAGGGCTCTCCATGTGGATCAGACTCTGCAAGGGCCGTGGCTGCTCGTCCAGGTAGAACTGCACGGCCCGATAGTAGAGCTCCATGTTGGAGACCTTTATACAGCAGCGAAGCCCTGAACTCCAGGTTTTGGGGTTTGGGGTTTGGGGTTTGGGGTTTGCGGTTTGGGGTTTAGGGTTCAGGGTTTAGGGTTTAGGGATGGCTCAGGTCTTACGAGTAGTTCTACTTGGGTATACATAGGGCTGCGATGAAAGTTGTAGCGTACTTCTAGGCCT